AAAAAACCCAGAATCCTAGGGAAAAATGACTCAGTAGGCAACTGGACTTTTGATCTATAAAACATACGAACTATTGTCTTAAAACATTTTACATATACCTACACTACTGAATTATCTTTTTGTTCTAAACATATTACCCATAATCCAAGCACTCTCAATATTCTCAGTGACAGTCATATAGAATCCCTTAGGATAGAGCTAAATACGTTTGGAATATACAAAGTAATAAATTCTTTTAAGCCACTCAAGGCACCAGGCCCAGATGGTATTCATCCGATTGTTTTTCAAAAATATTGGGTGGACACATGTCCCTCGATCATTAACATCTGCTCACAAGCTTTCCAAACCATCATAATTAACCTTGAAATAAACAAGACTTATGTTTCGCTCATCCCTAAAATAAAAACCCTTAATACATCACCCATTATCGACCAATTAGTCTTTGTAATACAATCTACAAGACAATCACCAAAATTATTGTCAATAGGATACGACCTTTTCTAAACAAAATTATCAGCCCTACTCAGTGCAGTTTCCTCCTCGATAGGCGGGCTATCAATAATACTATTATAGTTCAGAAAGCTATCCACCCTTTCAAAAAGAACTCCAGTGGTAAAGTAAAAATGATGCTTAAATTAGACTTAGAGAAGGCGTTTGACCACCTAGAATGGTCCTTCATTAGAAATTCCCTACATGCCTTAAACTTTGCTGCCAAACTGATTACCCTGATTATGAACTGCATCTCAACTTCTACCTCTATAATAGACAATGGCCAACCAACAGAGTTCTTTGAACCCTCTTATGGTATACGCCAAAGAGACCCACTATCACCCTACTTCTTTATCATCTGTATACAATCAATTACTAGATGCATTGACCATACGGTAGACATTTATCAATGGAAACCTATCAAACCTAGTCGAACAGGCCATCCATTTCCCATCTACTATTCATAGATGACATCATCATATTCTCTGAGGTGAAGAAAACTAGTGCTGCTTCGATCATAAATATTTTTAACTCCATCACCCAACAATCTGGCCAACGAATAAACTTCACAAAATCAAAAATCATCTTCTCAAGGAATGTAGATAGAGATACTTAGAGCACTCTTTTCAACAATGCTTAACATTAAGGTAACGAACAATGTAGGGAAGTACCTTGACTTCCCAATCACTAGCCTACAACCAAAAAGCTCTGATTATCATTTTATTCTTGATAGAATGAACACAGGACTTGAGGGATAGAATGCAAAATTCCAAACATAGGCAGGAAGAACCACCCTTATCCAGTCGGCTCAGGCAGCTATACCTACTCACTCCATGCAACTCAACTATCTGCCAACGTCTACTAGAAAATATATAGACCGTATTCAAAGGGATTTTGTTTGGGGTTCAACCACAGAAAAAGGAAAGTCCGCCTTGTAAATTGTGATATTGCCACATCCCAAAACAAGAAGGAGGACTAGGTATTTCTAATTTCAAGAGCAAAAATCTAGCTCTTTTTTGTAGTATTCTTTGGCGGATGTTCTAGAGTCCCAACAGTCTATGGGCACAGGTGGTATGTCACAAATACAAAGTAAGACATGAACACAAATATTTCACCATCATTGCAGTCGACTCCTATGTGTGAAAAAGTCTTGATAAAGCTCGACCTTTCTTTGCAAAAGGATTGGCCTGGAATGTAGCAAATGGCAACCAAATCAACCTGTGGAAAGATAACTGGATCATCGCACAGTTTTCTCTAAGGTCTCTCATACAAGGTCCACTAACACATACAGACTTGGGGACAAATCTCTCACACATATTACAACTAAATTCTTGGTATCTAAGCCCATTATCCTTTGAAATCCCTGCAAATATCCAATCATTAATCCACAACACCTACATACCATTCTCCAAAAATGCTGCAGATAACTTTTTTTGGAAACCAAGCAATAACGACTTCTTCACTACAAAGTCAGCCTACTCTCTAATTAGGAATTGCCTATCTGCAAAACCATCAAGGGACTTCGAATACTCTTGGATATGGAAAGCCAACTTCCATAACAAACTAAAACACTTCCTATGGCTATTAACCATAAAATGCCTACCTACAGCACCCATGCTCTACTACAGAAAAATAATTCCATCACCCCTTTGTCCCCACTGTAACCTAGTGGAAGACATATAACATATTTTTCTCTATTATCCATGCAACACTGCCATCTGGAACACCCTACATATAGTTTAATCCACCAAATTTCATCATGTGGATTAAAGAACTTTGTAATTCCTCTGATTCACTAACTCACAAGTCCCATTATCCATTATCACACCCACTACTCTATAGCATGCCTGGCTCTACCGCAACAACAACCTCTTAATAAAACCTCCATAATAATCGTCAGCAGCATACCAGTTGCCCAAGCCATTGAATACCTCTGCCTCACCAAACAGAAAATAGCTCACAAGCAATTCACAAGGATTCAAATACAGTGGATGCCACCACCACAAAACATTTATAAACTCAACATAGATGGTGCACATAGAAAAAACTCCAACTATAGAGGAGCAGGAGTGATGTCGCCCAATTTCACACTACAAATATAGGTAGTGAGGTGGTCGAAGCAATAATAAAATCCAATGCAAGTCAGGATCGAATCCACAAGGAGTTAGAATTGGGATTAGGCATATATTTAGTATTATTATATGATGTGCCTCAAATTACACTTCTATATTCTTGTTTGTTGTTTCTATTTCTACTCTAAGCTATTGATTGCGATTATAAATCTAGAAAACAATATTTTTGGTTTTGGTTGTTTTTCAAATTATTAAAGATCTAGGGTCATGACTTCTATCTAGGTGGTTACCTAACGGGTTGTAAACTCTAGGGTAAGTTTGATTAGTCAGGGTTATAATATAGCAATTACACACAATTACCCACGCTATACCTCTTGGCAGTTTGAGTGATTTTGCCCAATTTGGCTTTCTTAAGACCAAATGGATATTGCACAAAATAAGTGATATATGCTCAAGTTGGGTCTTACTATATCTAGATTTGACCATTTAATTGGGCTATCAATTTCTTGAGTTCATCCCAATTTCTTGTTAGCCAAGTTTTCCTAGATTTTGTTTCTCTTTCTTAAGAAGAGACTAAGTCAATTAGGCATGGATCAATATTGCAACCATTAATTCTTGAATTCAAGCATGAACAAGGCTAAATATCATTAACCCAATCACAAACAAGCCCTAAATCAAATACCTATTAAATACCCACACTAGGATTGAGTCACAACCCAAGCTAGAAATTTAGCTACTCATAAAAAATGAAGAAATTAAGATAGAATGCATAATAATTGATTAGGGAAAGAAAATTTAATGTTTAGAAGCTAATCTAGTACAATATTACTCAAAACAGTAAAGAAAACAGCTTACAGTACTATCCTAAAACTTAAATTAACCTAAAAATGACAAAAAGTTCTATTTATACTAAGCTAAAAATATCTAACGAAAATGCCCCTCTGGAGGTTGTGCAGCCGCACAATAATGTGTGCGGTCCGCACAAATAGGCTTGGCTTGATGGGTTCCATCTCCGCAGCCGCACAATTCTGGGTTGTGACCGCATCCTTTTTCTTGTACGGACCGCACAATTGTGAGATTTAGCCTGATTAAACCTCCAAATTGCGAATATAAGTGTTGTGAGAGGCTAGTTGAGCATCGGAGTCGGCATTCTTCTCCATCATCTGTTTAAACATATTCTCAACTCTCCCCATCTCAACTGTTAGAAGAGCTCGGACCTTGAGAAGGATAGAGAGGTGGATTACTCGATTGTTGGAACATCGGGGGCCTTTGAAAAACCCGACCTCCGGTTGTTGTTGTTGTTCCACCCTCCTTGGTTATTACCTCCCCAATTGCTTTGATTGTTGCCACCCTAATTGCCTTGATTATTACCTCCCCAATTGCCTTGGTTACCTTGATTATTCCAATTGCTTTGATTATTGTTATCACCACTCCAATTGCCTTGGTGGCCTTGGTTGTTCTAATTTCCTTGCGACCTCCATTGTTGTTGATTTTGTCCTTGAGCATTGTTTATTTGGCCTTGATAATTGCTAACACATTGAACTTCTTCTTGTTGCTCATTGAATGAATCACCTTGATCATAACCACTATCATCTTGCATGAATTGTTCCGGACGGTTTTGCATTTGTTGACCTTGTTGTCGTCTCTTGTTCATCATCATATTTACACCTTCCATCGCATTCACCTGTTTCGGCCCTTGAACTTGTTAAAGCTGAGCTTTGGCCAATTGGTTCATTGTAGTTGTCAACTCAACAATAGCTTGTCCATGATCATGTAGTTCCTTATGTAGGTGAATGATATTAGGGTCACCTTGACGAACATTGGCTCTACTTTGCCATGCCGATGAGATATCCGCCATCTCATCAAGAATTTCACAAGCTTCATTATAAGGCATGTTCATGAAGTTCCCACCGGCGAGCTGATTAACCACACATTAGTTTGTTATGTTGATCCCCCTGTAGAAGGTTTATTGGATCGTGGCCTTGGTCATATCATTATTTGGGCACTCTTTGACCATGGTACAATATCTTTCCCAAATCTCGTGCAATGGCTTGTTGGGTTCTTGCTTGAATGCAAGAATCTCATCCTGAAGTGTTGCCATATGTCCCGGAGAGAAGAATTTGACAATGAATTTCTCTGCCAACTCATCCCATGTATGGATGGAATGATGGAGTAATCTCTATAACCAGTCCAATGCCTTTCCCCATAGAGAAAAAGGAAATAGCCTCAACCTCAGCGCGTCCTCAGAGACATTTGTTTGCTTGCTCCCCCAACAAGTATCGATGAACCCCTTGAGATGCTTGTAGCCATTTTAACTTGGAGCCTCGTGAAGAATCCCCGTTGCTCAAGTAGTGTAAGCATCACATTAGTGATTTGAAAATTGCCCGCCCTAACGCGGGGCGGGACTATAACACTTGTATAAATCTTGTTCGGTAATTGTCAGTGGGATGCCGCTCTTGGTGAAGGTGGAGGAGGGACGGAAACAATATCTTGAGGCATGCGGCCTCGTCTATTTGCTTGAGGTTCAAGAGGAACCTCATCCATTTGGTCATTATCCAGCTCCTCCCCCTTTGGTAAATTCCCAATGGGCTCGTTGTTGAGACCCATTTTCGAACCTAAAATAAATTCAAAAACAAAGTTAGTGACTTGGAAGGAAAAGAAGACAAAGCACACAAAAATCTAGATATATAGCTAAATCCGTTTAACTCCCCGACAATGGCGCCAAGAATTGATGTCGCCCAATCTCACACCACAAATATAGGTAGTGAGGTGGTCGAAGCAATAATAAACCCAACGCAAGTCAGGGTCGAATCCATAAGGAGTTAGAATTGGGATTAGGTATATATCTAGTGTCATTGTATGATGTGCCTCATATTACACTTCCACATTCTTGTTTGTTGTTTCTATTTATACTCTAAGCTATTGATCGCAATTATAAATCTAGAAGACAATATTTTTGGTTTTGGTTGTTTTTCAAATAATAAAAGATCTAGGGTTGTGACTTCCACCTAGGTGGTTACCTAACGGGTTGTAAACTCTAGGGCAAGTTTGATTAGTCGAGGTTGTAATATAGCAATCACATGCAATTATTCACTATATACCTCTCGGTAGTTTGAGTGATTTTGCCCAATTTGGCTTTCTCAAGACCAAATGATTATTGCACAAAACAAGTGATATATGCTCAAGTCGGGTCTTACTATCTCTAGATTTGACCCTTTAATTGGGGATATCAATTTCTTGAGTTCACTCCAATTTCTTTTTAGCCAAGTTTTTCTAGACTTAGTCTCTCTTTCTCAAGAAGAGACTAAGTCAATTAGGCATGAATCAATATTTACAACCATTAATTCTTGAATTCAAGCATGAATAAGGCTAAATATCAGTAACCCAATCACAAACAAGCCCTAAACCAAACACCCATGAAATACCCATTGGGTCACAACCCTATCTAGAAATTTAGCTACTCATGAAAATGAAGAAATTAAAGAAGAAATTAAGATAGAATGCATAACAATTGATTAGGGAAAGAAAATTTAATTTTTAGAAGCTAATCTAGTACAATATTACTCAAAAGAGTAAAGAAAACGGTTCAGGTGCTCTCTCAAAACTTAACTTAACCTAAAAATGATAAAAAGTTCTATTTATACTAAGCTGAAAATATCTGATGAAAATGCCCCTGCAAAGGTTGTACGATCGCACAATAATGTGTGTGGTCCACATAAATAGGCTAGGCTTGACAGGTTCCATCTCTGCGGCGTACAATTGCGGCCGTGCTCCTTCTTCTTGTGCGGACCACATAATTATGAGTGCGGCTGCACTCTTGCTTCTGCGGTCGCACAATAGTAGTGCGGTACAAACTCCTTGATTTTGGACTTGAACCCAGCTCTCTGATTCTTCTCTTCTGCAGATCGCATAATACTGAGCGCGGTCGTACTTGTCATCCTGCCGCCACACAATTGTGGTATAGTCCACATATCTTCAGCTTGCCCAAAACCAACTCTCTGAATCTCCTCTTTTGTGGCCACACAATATTTGTGCGGTCCGCATACTCTGAAGAAAAACTGATATGGCTCTTTCCTTGTTTTGCGGCTGCACACAGTATTGTGTAGTCCGCACCGTGGGCCTTTTTTTCTTGTTTTGGTCCTTTTCCACTTTTGACTCCTTTATGAGTTGATTTTGATTTTTTTGGCTCATATTACAATACTCCTGCAAGCAAGCACATTTTATTAGTTTTCGGGAATACCTTTAAGCATTTTTGAGCTAAAACGCAAGTAAAAGAGAGCAAATAAGTGGTCAGAAACCCTACTTATCAAGGAGGAATCATTAGAGATTCCTAGGGTAACTGAATAGCGGGGTTCTCCAGCCGAGTTGTGGCTAATACGCCACTACAAGCGGAACTTACAGCTCTATTGAAGGGACTGGACCTGGCCTTCACTAAAAACTTAACGCCACTAGTTGTGGAACTAACTGTCAGGTATTGTCAATAATCATAAAACCTCACAGGACTAATGATGCTCACATAACTTTACTAAATGACTACAAGTTCCTCCTTGCAGCAATGGACCAGCCACCAGTCAAGCACATATACCGTGAAGCAAACTCAGTTGCACATGTTCTAGCACATTATGCAAGCACACATGTGTCTATGCTGAATGTGAAGACACATCTTGGGGCACAGTGCCTTTATTTGCTTTCCTTAATTACCGCAAAAACTTGTTAGGAACTGTATCGTTAAGATCGATTCCATGTTGTAACAACTTCTTTTAAATTTTCTGCTTAATATATCTCGTCGTTTTAGCAACCAAAAAAAATTCTCTAAAAGACCTTTATATCAAAATAAAATAAAATAAAAACTCTAAAAGACCCACATAAAAAAATTATTTTATTTGACAAATCTTTAAAGAATCATGATAAAAGTATTTTCGTGTTATTTTGTGTGTTTAGTATTAGGTTATAGAAATAATAATAATAATTTTTTGTACGATATTCTTACAAGAAGTCATTATAACTTATACTTTTTCTAATAATTTTTATTCTATAACTCAAACATATTACTTAATAATATTTATACTATTATTTATAATAATTTACTTGTCGATATGAATTNGTGTGTGTGTGTGTGTGCTATTATTATTGGAGGGAGGTCATACAATGTAGATTTCCCGCCTAATTAGATGCATAATATACATATAATTGTGTACAATAAGTATAAAACATATATATACCGATGAAGAAATAACAAAACAGTAATTTAGCTGGCTATTTGTGTAAAGATCCCGTAGTTTCTTGCTTTCGAGATTCATATAATAATGTGAATGTGATGTTTATACAGGTTTAAATCTCACGTTTAAAATTTAATAAATAGTAAAATGGTACAGCCTCCGGTCCAAAATAAGTAATTTTTCGGCCTTTTTTTGTTGTCCAAAATAAGTGATTTTTACAGATTTCAAGAATGAATTAATTATTTTTTTTCCTACATTGCCCTTGGAGTAAATAGTGTCGAAGCATGTGTTAGGAGTATTTATGTGAAGAGATAGTAAAGGTTAATATGGTCAATTTCATTGCTAATTAATGTTAAAAGGTGAATTTCTTAATTTTTGTGAAAACAATTAAAAATCACTTATTTTGGATCGGAGGAAGTAATAGTCTGTTTGTTGAAAATTTATGGATTTGTGAGCAGGGGCGGATGCAACTTCAACGAAGCGGTGTCACCGCTTCGTCAGCTAAATATATGTATCAAGACTGTGAGAAAACGAATAAATTTATAAAAATGATACCACTTGATACAAATTATCTCTTGGCATGTTGGTTAAGTGTTTGATTTTGCTATAATAGGTTAGAGGTTCAAACCTCAGCACACATTTTTGGCAAATATTTGAGAGAGCATCTATGATTAAAATTTGTGATTATGTAGAATTGAACTAGGGCTTTTTCTAACTCAAGATTCAGCAAAATCAATGGTCTACGGTTATTTTTTGTCTAAAAATATGATAACTAAAGTTATTTGTTTCCGTTCTTTTAAAACTTTCGACATCACTTAAAAAAATTTCTGCGTACGCTCCTGTTTGTGAGGTTGTTTGGATTAATTTATTTTAAGTGCTTATTGACTTTTAAGTACTTTTTAGTTTATGTGGTGTTTGACAATAATAAAAAGTGCTTAAAAACACTTACTTTTAGACATAAAAAGTACAAAAATAAGTCAAAAGCCAAAAATTGAGTGTGACCAACTTGTGAATTTTAGCTTTTAACTTAAAAGCTACTTTTTTATAAGTCAATCCAAACACCCTTTGTATCGAAGACCCAAAAAGGATAGCGAAGTGGTTAAAAGTATCAACTCTAATCATACTGTCTAGAACTTGTAGTGGTCGATATATTATCTCTTCCTTCTCTTTTAAAAAATAGTGATGATTTGAACGAAACTGCGCTTTGAGATATATGGAGTAATAAAGCTTATGAGGTGTATGTTTTATGACATAAATCACATGAGCGTATATAGAGACCACCTATGCACATGCACATGCACAGTGAGGTCATGTCTATCCTACTCCTATTATAGTGACCACCTTAATATCCCTGCCAGTTAATCAATCCTCTGTATACCAAGGAGGTCACGATTATCCAACTCAGTGTTAGACGTCAGCTCCACTAATATATATCATATCTTATTTTTTATACATTAAATAAATTGTTTATAATCTTTCATAAGCTACATGACTTGAATCAACTAGCTATAATAAAAAGATAAAAACTCCATTTCATTCGGAGTAGTTTTTTATGTTATCCTATCTTTCGTATGCTTGTGACCTTCATTTGCTAGAAAGTCCGTACAGTTGTTCGCCTCCCTACCGTCGTCAGTTCTCAAGNATATATATATATATATATATATATTATTTTTTATTTTTTTATTTGATATACAAAATATATATAATTTTTTTAACAAATAAAAATAGATTAACCCCTCTTGGATCTCATATATATAGCTTTTCCAGTGACTATAATCTTGTCAATTATGAGAATATAGAACAACTATATATGAGGGTGTGAGGAATACATCCATATCTTTTCAACATAAGTCTGTTCAAGCTATAGCAATAGTATATTTTTCTTCCCAATTCCCATTGGTAGATTTAACACGAATATGAATTAATTAGTTGGACTAATAAAAATGAATACGATCCATCAGATATATTTAGAAATAAACAAATAAACTGGTCCTTCACAGAAACCGACCCAAATGTCCACCTACACGATCACATCGTCCTAGCTACGTACACCCACGAGCATTAACAAGCAGACTTTCGTGGTCCCACAGAAGCGAAACTAATAGAGTATTTAAATTTGATGGGTTCTGAGTTTGCTTAACGTATTCAATAGATTTCTTGATAAAAATATAAATATAAATTTTAAGGTAAAATTGATGAATTCGTCCGAACCCAGTATAGCTGTGACTCTAGCTCTGGTCCCACATGGATCCACAATCCCGCTGGGGACTCGAGCTTCTCCAATGGCGGTCCAGGCCCCTATCACCAACCGACCACATGTGACCTGCTTCCACCCATTTCTCTCCAATTTCTATCCCGATCACATCTCACATCTCAGTGTGTAATCCAGCAGTAACGACTACGTGGCCCATCTTATATTCATCAACATTAATTTGTGCATGCATGGCACCCCAATTTGCCACTATTTCAAGTACAGCAAGTGCAGTTACGTAGTACTTAAGTCGTATATGTGAGTGTACTGTGTATGCGAGACTTCAATTTCTCATTTTATTGCGTCCTATATGATGGCATTTGATAAAGCATAATGTTAAAATATATAGATGAAGCATATGTGTTTGTTCTTTTTAAATATTTTCCTGCAATCTTTGTTCAGATAACAGGAGAACACTGAAAAAGGAAAAACTGAGAAAGATAAATATTAAGTGAAAAATTAATCTTTATTATTCTTCCTAATAAATAACTCAATATTCAATCAAGTATACTACTCAGCATGTATGAAAAAATTTGTTTTGTGCACTCTCATACAACTGATAATAGTTGTATGAGGCATCTTTTTTGTCTTACATTATTGTGGACCCAGATTTTTGTGAACCCATAAGTGTAAGATAATAGTTCACAAATTTGTATAAGGCACACGGTAAAACTTCTCGTATGAATGTCAACAATTAATTATTGTTATTATTATAAGTAACCAGAGACGAATTCAGAATTTCAAAAGGATGAGTGCACTATTATGAAGAGGTAGATCTAGAATTTATATTTGACGGATTTAATTTTATTCTTGAACTTTGAATAATGTTCACTATATATATATATATATATATATCCGATCCGTGCCAAAAATAAGACCATTAAAAGTAAAATTTGAATTACCAATTTCACCTGTAGAGGTACATCCAATAATAATTGAACCATACGAGTCTTTGAGCATGGGTTCATATACTTATATTTAAGTGATTTTGAAAAAATATAATATTATTATACATAATTTAAAAAATATGTAATATGAAATATCTAATTTTACGAAAAGACAATGTCAACCATGCCGCATAATCTCCCTTATGAAACCCTTGCAAAATGAAGGAATTTAGACTAAAACAACTACTGCTGAGTAATGAACAATGAGACATTAATTTTGTTAACAACAATTTCGTGTTAATTCGGGGTGTCAAACTACGTAAGAGCATAACTGCATACGTTAGACAATAAAGACAACAATTGAGTGCATGCATCCCTTATTATAGAACATTATAATATTATAACAACTCAGCTCATTGATACTTGAATAGATAATCAGATACTGAAATTAACTTCATCGCTTAATTAGAATGCACACATATCTTACACCAAGTCACGAAACCTAATATACATCAGCGGGAAAGTTGCAAGAAAGAAAAACCCAAGCATGCATGGATAGGTCAGGTGCATATTAAACTAAGTGATAATATACATAATAAAACAGCTATCAGTAATTAAGCATATATATCCCTCTGTTTCTTTTCTTTCTGGAATTTTAGTTTTGCTTCTTTTTTGCAATTTTTCACCTTTACTTCTTTAAGTATTATACCTTCGACAATAATTTCAAGAGTTAAACAAGAGCAGAGATCAAGGGAGGTAATTAAAAATAGTGATCATTTTCACCCCATTGTCTTTGATACCAGTAAGAGTACTGAAGATCACTGTTCTCCACCATACCAAACAGTCCTCCGGTCTGCCAATCCACCGGAGCCAGTCCACCGTCGTTTTCCCTTCTCCCTGATAACTCAACGTGAGCAGTCCGATCAAAGAAACCCGCATTTGAGTTTTGGTACATTGAAATGTTGTTCACATTGATTGGGTAATCCCCAATATCATGAAATATTTGCTCTTCTGTTGTATGTCGTCCCACTACTTGCTGAATAAAATCTCCCTTCGTAGTTTCAGTTACTAAAAACCTTGAGTCCTGAACGTCGGGCAGAGTCGGATTAGATGAATTGCCTAACACAAATTCCGGAGTCATAGCAACAGATGTATTCGCTGCAGCAGCAGCTGTGGACGTAATAGCAGTAAGACTAGAACTTTCACTGCCGGAATTGGAATTGGAGTTGGAGTTGGACTTATTTTCCTGAGAAGTATCATCAGTAGTAGAAACAGCCGACGGCTTGGGCTTGGACCGTCTGCTTTTGCGGCAACCACCGCCAACGGGGACGTTACGGAGGATGCCGCCTTTAGTCCAGTACCTCCGGCAACTCTGACAGAAGTGGCGCGGCTGAGAGAGATTATAATTGTTGTAGTAGCAGAATTTTGTATTGAGAGAATCACAACGAGGACACTTTATGGCTTGGGGTTGGTTAAGCCGTAGTCGTCTGTCACCGCCACCGCCGTAAAACCGCCCTCCGCCACCTCCAATTGAATGTATATCTTGCATATCTTGGACAAAATTGAACACAGAAAATTTGATTTAAAATTTTCCGGTGGCTTTTCCGGCGAGCTTTTACATTCGCCGACTTTGGAATTTCAGACGGTATAGCAGCTTCTTCTGAACACGAACCGACTGACAAATATATATATCCATTTGCATATCTGCTGCTAGAGTTGCTAGAATTTTATGATTATAAGCAGGTGAGAGATGAAAAGACAGAAATAGACCTATTGAATGGTCAAATAACTGTGGAAGCCACGTTACTGCAACGTTGGGGGGACGACTCTACAAGATATGTATTGTCTATTTTCGATAACAGACAAAATATTTTTAGTATATTCTTAATTTGTATATACCACGACAAGGTAAAAGAAGTTTCTCACTCTTTCTGAATCAACATGGCAATCAAATTAGGAAAAAATTTACCCGCGCACAGGATGTATACACCCCGGCCATTAAACAATTAACACATGTCACACTTCGTTTAACTAGAATTATTAGTACTATAGGTAACTAGTTTTGAGATAATAATAATAATAATATTCTACTAAAATACTTAATATCGATGGTACTATTTGACCAAAAAATGTTGAACCTTATGATTAAATCAATTAATGATGAGAAGAAGGATAAATCTTATTCAAGCATAATCAACTTCAGATCTAAAAGTATGTAGAGAGATCATGATTGGAAAATGGGAACATCCTCGACTTATTGATGTTACAATCTTATCTTTAATTAGGAAAAAAGGAAATAATTTACGTCCTTCATCAGAAGAGACTGTAGGAGAAGGAGTAGGGAGAAAAAGTCCCGCCCCCTTTTTTCCGAGAATTCCCTTCTATATATAGTTCTTGGAGTCTCACTGTGTTCTTTGACCAATGTGCTTTCGTATGACAACTTTTTTCGACGTTATTCGAATACCACCTTTACTTGTTATACACTATCGATGATTTGATTGGGATTGGTCATGATGCTTTTCGTTATTTCGCCATCTGGGTGAGGTCCTAGCTTGGTCGACCACCATGGTCAGATTTTGACCTATACAGTTAGTCCCTCCGTCTGTCGAGGTCATACCTTGGTGGGCTCGGCAGGCGGACTCTGTAGATTCGAAGGTTAGGAAAAATTTGACTGTTCATGCTTTGAACGAGGCGATGGCGCAACGCCTTACGATGCCTTTGGATCATCATGTCCGTTCGGAATCAAAACGTTGCGTTGATCTGGAACGTCGTTTGCAGTTACTGCCATTATGACACACCTTTCTCGGGGATTGAACCGTTTCATGCCCTATCAGTTTTGATTGGCGATTCTCGGGTTTCCCGCTTGAGCAATTTATGTCCCTATAAATAGGGGAAACACCATTCTTATTGGCACACTTTTTCTGATTTATCAAAAGAATTTTGCGAATTTTCATCTTCCCCGATAATTCAGGTTTTCGATTCTCTCTTGTTTGCCGGAAATTGACATCACCGTCTTCTCCCTTACTTCCTTTGTTCTTTCATTCTATTCAATTGGGATAAATGGCTGGTGCTTCTTCCCGTGATGACAATCTTGCTACAGTCCCGACGTTGGAAACTGATGTTCTTACTCCGGGAGGAGTAGAAATAGTAGAGGATAAAGAGATTCCAACGGCGGCCGAAATATTGCCTCGTCTAGGGAAGACGTGGACCGATTTGAACAGCCCTGCCAGAGAGGAACCGGAACCTATTTCCTCTGTTATAAATGAAGCGGCGATTGTGGAGCTGAAGGCCAGGTGGGGGATTCCATACCACGTCGAGATGCTGCCGGCGGCGGGATACGATATTATACATTTCGACCGCCCAGGGTATTGCGCGTTCTATGCATATCCTATTATTGTCGGGTATACGCTTCCACTCTCTCCCTTGGTGGTAGATTTTTGTCGTTTTTACGAGGTGTGTCCGGCTCAACTTTCGTCGTATTTATATAAGTTGTTCCTCATGCTACTCAAGTTCGCGGAGCTTGCCGGTCGGGAGATCACTTTGAGGCACATGCTCAATATTTTTGCCCCTCAACTCATCCGAGGCACGATGATCCACATGGACCATCGAGGGACGAAAAGTCTGGGGGTGAAGATGGACGATAGAGCCAATCGTCGTTTTTACGAGAACTATTTTTATGTGCTAAATGAGCACCTTATGGCGGATTTTACAGGGTTCCCCGAAAAATGGAACTTCACACGTAAGTTTCTCTTTTGTTGGAATGATATTCGACCATACTTCTTCGGGCAGTATTAAATTGTTTTTGATTTTGCAACCACGAGACTACCCGATGCGCCTGTTGACGATATCCGTGAATGGGTGAATACCATTCTTCCTCATACGGCGGGAGTTCGCGAATGGTCATCCTTCTATGAGAGATATGGACGTAAGGCCCTCACTGGTAAGTAGTCTTGCCGTAGTTTCTGTTCTCCGCTTTGTAACTTGACTTTGTTACTTATACGGCTATTTTCGTTATTAGGGAGAGTACGGAGGGCGAGGGATCCTTCACTTGCATTTTGTTACTGGACATCTCCTGCTCGGTCCGTAACAAGGATCGCTGCTCGACCCACGACGAGGACCGCTCAAGTTGAATCTACAGACGGAGCCGTGCGCATGGAAACTGTTCCACAATTTGGGGCTCCAACTCCTACTACTTGCTCGACTAGGGAATCATCCCATGCTAAGGACGGGGAAGGGCCGTCAAAGAGACGATGAATGGAGTCTGAAATGGCTCCCTCGGTCGTGGTACGTTCAGAGGGCGACATTCCCTTGACAGAGTCTAAGATGGGGGACGATGTCAACCCGTCTGCAGAGGTAGAATCAATTACCGTAACCAACCTGACGGTAGAGACTCCGACTGTTATGATTGACCAACAGACTACTACGACGGGGAGTCGAGATCCCAAGGCCGTTGTTGTTACCTTGGGCGGGCCTTTATCTTTCAGACCGGGTCGTGCTTCTTCCTAGGCCGTAGAAAGGGGAAAAGGTGTCATAGTCGATGACTACGAATCTGAATCAGATATTGATCTTGACGATGTCATGATGTTTGAGAAAGGCCTTACTCGTACGGTGGTATACGCGAGGGGCCTGACCCGAATTCTTGAAATCCTGTCGGAGATCAACCTTCTGGGAGATACGTAGGACTTGGTATCGCAGTTTAGCCTTTTATGCTCTGCTGCAGAGTTTGAGGCTCTTCGGGAGGTCTGTGACGTCGATTTGATGCATGAAGTGGCTGCTATGGACCTGAGGGTAAGTTTTTCCTCTTTTTGCATTCCTTTGATCTTTGGCGATCTTGGCCTTTACCAACTCTTTTCGTCTTTCAGACGTACATGGTGGAGATTGAAAGTGCTCGCAGGGCTGATACTCGGGCCAAAATTTTCTTGATAATATTGGAGAAGTACCGGCGCTACCATAACAAGTGCCGTGAGATGCATGAACGACTGAGGGAGAACGCCGACAATCGATCTCTTCGCGAGGAACTGGAGAAGAGGGATCAGGAGTTGATGCAGGCTATTCGCAGGAATAGCGAGCTTGAGGAGCAACTTCGTGTAAAGGACGAAGAACTTGAGTTGGGAAAGGGGATCGCTGCAGAGTGTGAGCATCTTCAGGCGAAGGTGTAGTCACTGTAGTCCGAGTTGGATCAGGACGCCATCAGAGTCGAGGCTTTGAGTGCCGAGTGGATGGGGAAATTAGTTGAGCTGGAGAGGAAGGTCTCCGAGTTGGAGAGTGTCGAAAGTGATTGGGCATCGGCTTCAGCAAGGGCTGCGGCGTTGGAGGACACTATCTGCGTCCTTCAATCCAAGTAGGAGTCAGAGAAGGCGACGGCTACGCTCAGGGAGGCGAGGCTCGAAGAGCGCATTGGCGACATTGACTGGGAAGATTCGGCCTTAGGGGATCTGGTCGCTGTTCTTGAGGCCAAAAAGGCATAGCTGTTGGCCCAAGTCGAATCTACCTCCGCCGCTGTTCCTCGTCATCTGCATGAGCTCTGGGTCCATGCCGAAGCCCAGCGAGACATTTATAAGAGTTTATAGGAAGCAGGCATTGTTTCTGAGGCCGCCTATGAGGGAGCTCGGGCGAAGGCACGTGAGGCTTGTGTTAACTGTGGTTATGATCCTGCGACACCGGAGGTCGGCGAGGATGTTGATGCTGAGGGGGAATTTCCTGGAGACGGCAGTGATGGCGCCGAGTAAAAAAGTTATCTTAGTTTTTTTTTCTTGTTTGTCGTTGTTGCCCCCTTTAGCCAAAAGTTCCATATGATGAAAGGAAAGAGCTCTACCCAATTAATTGTGCTAGGTAAAGTAGTAATAGGAGGGTTTAAATTTTTAAGGAAGATAAGTGTGGTCATTCAGGAAATGAACGGGTAAAGGAAGTGATTGATTAAAGAGTGAGTGCCAATAATTTTTAGCCAGATTACAATGAAGAAAAATGTGTTGGATATCCTCCTCTTTCTTGTTGTAGCAAGTACAAATTGGGTCTATATTGATTCTAATGGATTGTAAATATTCTTATAAGGAATTCTCTCATGGTAACAAAGCCATAAGAAAATTTTAATTTTATTGGAAAAATTGAGGGACCAGATCCAATCAAAAAAAATTTCTATTTGAAGATTATTAAGAAACTCATTGATGAGATTATAGCAAGATTTTATGGTGAAGAGACCATTAGTTGTTTCTTCCCAATAACTCCAATCTATGAAGTTACTGGAAGGAAAGATAATGGACTTGATTTTTTCATCTATTGTTGAGGGTATTTCAAAGAAAATTTGATCAAAGGTCTAGTTGTTCTTGTTACGGAGATCCTTTGGCGTGATGAGAAGGTCAGTCTTATTTAAAGGCCCTATTAGAAGTTGACAAAGTGGTTGACAGTTAGGAATCCACTTAGTGTTCCAGATATCAAGGCTGGAATTGTGACCAATTGTCCAAACCGTTCCCTTTGAGCAAATATCCCAACAAATTTTAAGACTTTTCCAAATAAAAGAGTTACTCATTAGAGAGTTATTAATGTACTTAG